TCATTCCTTCTCTGATTATTGATTCAGTGGCATGAGGAGTCCAAAACATCGTATATTCTTCAAAGCGAATAAGGCTTCTGGTTGCCAAAATTCGATAGTATCAGTCTTCGTAACTCTGCCCTTCTAATAGTTGTGAAGTGGTATCTCAAAGTGATTTAATTTATATTTGCATGGTAACCAACAGTCATGGGCTTCTCAGGTGGTGCCAGGGGTAAATGGTGCCACATAAATGGTAAGTCACGCCTGCCAGTACAGGAGACGTAAGAGGTGCAGGTTTGATTGCTGATTTGGGAAGCTCCGCCGGAGGAGGGCATGGCAGCCTCCTCCAGTGTTCCTTCCTGGAGAGTCCCGTGAGCAGAGGAGCCTGGCGGGCTGCCGTCCCTGGGGCCGCAGAGAGTCAGGCGGGACTGAAGCAGCGGAGCGCACGCCTCGGACCCTTCTCGTGTGCTTTTCGTCTGTTCATTTTTGCCTTTGTGACGTGGTCACATTTTTTTGCCCATTCTTTTATTGGGTTGTTTCCTTTTAAAAATTCATTTGTAAGAGTTTTTTTTTTTAATGTGTATGTAAACTGAATATAGGCCTTTTTCAGATTTAAGTTTCTTCTCCCATTTCGATAGAAGTTTTAAATTTTTTTCTTAGTATCTTTTTTTTGAAAAGACTTCCTTTCTCCCATGAACTGCTTTGCTGTCTTTGTTGAAAGTAAGTTGACCACGTATGAGTTGAGTGTATTTGTGGACCCTCTGTTGTGTTTCATTGATTTAATGTTATGCCAGTACCAAACTGTTGATTACCATGGCTGTATAATGAATGAGTCTTGAAACTAGGCAGTGTACGTCCTTGAACTTTTTTCTTCTTTCTCAAGATGCTTTGAGTATTCTAGGTTTTTTGCATTTCCATATCCATTTTAGAATCAGCTTGTCAGTTTCATTAAAAAGCCTGTGATCGGGATTACATTGACCCCATAGATCAGTTTGGGGAGAATTAATATCTGAGCAATACTGAGTCTTCCAATCCATATATCTTTCTATTTATTTAGATCTTCTTTAATATCTTTCAGTGATATTTTGCAGTTTTCCACATAGTGGCCTTGAATAGCTCTTATTTACTTATCCCTAAATATTGATTATTTTTTGATGTTAGTGCAAATGGACTTGTTTCAAAGTTCCACTTTAAAATTGTGTTATGTGAGTATATCTAATGTCATTGATTCTTAGTTAATGACCTTGTATTTTATGATCTTCCTAAATTCACATATATTCTAGTAGCTATTTTGTAGCTAGGATTTGTTACATAGTTAACTAGGTTGTCTAGGAATAAAAATAGTTTTAACTTTTCAATTTTTATAACTTTTATTTCATTTTCTTATTGCACTTGCAAGGACCTCTAATACAATATTGAATAGAAGGTGTGAGTTTAGGCATTCTGGCCTTTTGTAATTTGAAATGCTTTGTACTTTATTCATCCTATAACTCAGAGAGGTCTTGTTGACATCCTGTTTTATCTTTGATCTCAGCACTGCATTTAATTCCTTTATATCATTTACTATACATTAAAATTACTTGGTTTGTTTACTACTTTGCTGTCTGCCCCTTCCATCAACCAGTAAGTCTCTTATGAGAAGAACTCTGCCTTCACCAACATATAGCACAGTGACCCTTAGTAGGCAAAGGAAATGCTTTGTCAAATCAGTACATTTTGGTGGAAACTTGTAGCAGTTCTACAATCTGTCCTCCTTCCCAGTGTTTGAACTTCCTTGTAAAACCCCAGACAAGTATTATTTCTTTGCTGGGGGTGTGCCGGGTTTTGTTGCTGCAGGGGCTTTTCTCTAGTTGTGGCAAGTGGGGTCTCCTCTCTAGCTGTGGAACGTGGTCTTCTCAGTGCAGTGGCTCTTCCTTGTTGTGAAGCATGGGTCTAGGGCCCACGGGCTTCACAGTTGCAGCCCCCGGGCTCTCGAGCACAGGTGCAGTAGTCGTGGCACATGAGCTTAGTTGTTCTGCGGCATGTGGAGTCTTCCAGAGCGGGGATGGAGGCCGTGTCTCCTGCATTGGCAGGTGGATTCCTTACCACTGAGCCTCCAGGGAAGTCCCAAGTATTATTTCTTAGAAAATTTTTTTCTTGTTCTCTTTCCTTTCTTTAAATTTTTTTAGGAGGCTAAATTTTAATTTCTCATAGAAACCACTTATATTTAATATTTCAAGGTTTTAATTGATGTTTTATAAAAAACAATACCATTCTTTCTACTGATTTTTGCAAAATATTGTGGTGAGACATTGGGATAATTTGCCTTTCCTGGATATCATATACACTTGGAAGTTAATCAGTATCCAGACAGTTTGCAGTGGTTCAAATATAGAAACAAGGATAAACACATTCCACACAGTTATCTAGTAAGCAGGTGTTGGGTCACAGTTTTTTATTCTTTGAAATCTGGAGAAATCACACTGATGAAGCAAACCAGCTAGGCAAATTATTTCCTTATTTTTGCCTTTTAGCTTTTGTTCTAATCAGTAATGTTTCTCTTTTTTAAAAATGTGATTTAAGTCTAATGGAGGTAAATTGCTTTCAGCCTGGAACACAGTGACCTAGGATTTATCCTAAAGGCAAAATATCAAAGTATCTTTCTTCTGGCTGCTCCATTTTAGCAGCTGCTGTGATAGAAAGTAGCACTTCAGTTTATGTACAGACAGGAGGGAAATACTGTCCCCCACATACAATGTTAAAATAATTCTTCGCAGCTTTCCTGGTGCCTCAGTGGTAAAGAATCTGCCAGCCACTGCAGAGGACAAAGTTCGATCCCTTGTCCAGGAAGAGGCCACATTCCAGGAGCAACTAAGCCCGTGTGCCACAAGTACTGAGCCTTGTGCCCTAGAGCCTGTGCTCTGCAACAGGAGAAACCACTGCAATGAGAAGCCCTCGCACCGCAACTGGAGAGTAGCCCCTGCTCGCCGCAACTAGAGGGACCCCTGTGCGGCCGCAGAAATGCAGTGCAGCCAAAACTAAATAAATAAAAGTTCAGAAAAGATTCTTTGGCCTGTCGTACACACTGATGATGGAAGTTGCATTGAAGTAGGTGACAGCATATTAAATTGGTTGTTTATTCATTCAGCTCCTCTCTCCATCCCCTTCCTCCCTTCTCTCCTCTCCTCTCCAATTTACAAATGGACATTTCAACAGTCTTCCATGGATAATGGAGAGAGTAAGTAGACTGACATTCAGTAAGAGTTTAGAAGACCCGGACAACCATATCAATCAACTTAATTGCCTTTTTACTCTGTTTAATGAAACACTCCACCCTATATACTGTTTTTTTCCCCAAGTACCCTTGAAATACTCACCTAGAAGGACCAAATTTGGTCCAATTTTGGTCGAAAACCAAATTTCAATAAATTTTACAGTGTTGAAATCCTACCGAATGTGTGTTCTCTGATCACAACAGAATTAAACAGAAATCGATATCCCCCAAAATACCTGAAAAAGTCCAAATATCTGAAAACTGCACAAATGTGTAGTCATACTGAAAATGACTCAGGAGTCAAAGAAGACATGACGAGGGAAATGTAAAATTACTGAGAGGAATGAGAACAAAAATATGACCTTACTCTTATTTTACCTTGCTCTAATATGTTTAGAATAGACATATTAACATGCGAATCAGTCGAGAATTACGTCTTCAATCCTTCCTGTTTGGCTGCATCTTGAACTCGCTGCTCCCTTCATACGTCAGCCCCGGTAGCCCGCTGCAGCTGGCAGGATAGCCAAGGAGCATGGCTCTGCCCCTGCTGGCGGTCTGCGCCAGCCCTCGTTACTCTGGCCTTGCCTGTTTAACCAAGTAGTTCAGATACTTTTCTTCTAGTTCCAGTGAGCAAACGTTGACCATTTTCAGAGGTCGTGTTCCTGGAACCACGAAGGGGAATTTAACGGGGCAGTAACAGACAAGCTCAAGTCATATCACTCTTATGTTACCTTGAATGAAAATCATGTCAAAGCTGCCTCCTTCCAGCTCTCTCCTACCTGGGGAGTTCTGGTCTAACCCTTGTCCAATATTTTAGAATTTTTGTTAGTGTTTGTTCATTTCCCCCCACCCTGTGACTTCTGTTTCTCCTAGAGATCCTTTAATTGTTTGGACCTTCTCATTGTTTTTGACTTTTTGTGACCTTCCTGTATCTCTGCCCTCAGTCAGCCTGTCCCATCCAGCCTCTGTCACTTGCTGCGACTTGGCTAGGTGCGAGGCATTGAGCTGGGTTTGGGACAGGATGGGAGCTTGTAAGTCAGATAATTAACTGGGATGTGCTAAGTGCTTTGACTTGTTAGAAGGGCCATGCAAGCAAACACTCATTCATCAAATATTTATTTGCCTTCCACTGTATAGCGGGCACTGTGCAATGGGAGTGGTACCCTGGGCAGCAGGTCCTGATGGTTTGAAGATGAGGCATGGGGTTGTGAAGGGGAAAAGCATGATCTGGAAGTGGATGATCCACTCAGGCTAAAGGTGTTTGGTGGGGACTGGAGGGACTTGAGCTAATATGAGGTAAGAGAAAAGGCTAGGCAGATTAGGGAGGTCCTTTGGTTGTGTTTTCTTTTTGAGGGAGTTTCGTTGTGTTTCAGTGAGCATGTGATTTATTAGATCCATGGTGACTCTCAGCAGCACCTCTGTACTACCCGTATCTCTGATTTCTCTGGTTAATCTTGTGTTCTCTGCAGTGACCAGTGGCTCTGAGTGGCGGTGACCACGTGCACTGTTAACTGTGCTTTTTTAAAACGTGGGAGGTGGGGTTGCTGAGAGAGTAAACCCCAATGCCAGAGCCAGATGTAGCATACTCTTATTTAACCTGGATTATTTTCTCCTAGGCATTAGGTATTAAGTAGTCTTTTAAAACCTTTTAAAATTTCTTCTTTAATGTAGGAGAGGAAGAGGTTGAAACAAATGAATTTGAAAACACCCTGTGGAATAAAGTTTCCATCCATTGCCCACCCTGAAATTTTTTATTCTCTTTCTTTAGGTTTCTTGCTATTTAAAGATTTTTGTTTGAATGAAATTAATGAAGCTGTACCTCAGGTGAAGTTTTATGAAGAGGTAAGAAGTGACTGTTTTATCAATGCTTTTATTTCAAAAGCATATTTAAACTGTTCTTTGGGAAATATTAATACTTGTAGATATCTTACAAATATTTAGAAATTCATTGAAAGTAATTAGTAGTACAAGATAGAATATATAGTTTATTAGAAATGCTGGCACCAACTATAAAAAACATATTTTTAAAACTGTATAGTGTTCTGGAGTCAGTGAAGAATAGTTGGACTAAAATTCCAGAGGAAGAAGACAGAGCATTCTCACCCATTTTATTTTCTGCAGAAGCTTGCAGATTCTGGAGACAGAAGCTGAGGTAGAGGGCTGCTATTGGCTAAAAGAATAACTCGCAAAGTTTTATGGTCACACATTACGGGAGTAACAAATTGGAGACTTGGTGGGAGAGGGAGGCCTCAAGCCCACAGCCGGTTTTCCCAGCAAGACATTGGGAGGGGCTGAAGAGCCAGGAGCTTCTGAAAGACACATTGAAACTTCTCACAGCCTTGCAGGATTACATGATATTTAAATATACACCTGCTGTGGCATGAATCTGAAAACAGAACAGGCAGAAGATGAAAACCCTTCTGAAGATCTAGAACCACTTATCACCTGGGGCAGTGGTTGGTTGTGGGTGTGGTGGGCAGATGAGATTCCAGGTTTGGCCTCTGGCAGGAGGCTGTTTTCTCAGGGACAGAAAAACCAGAAGAGGTTTCTGGGTCTGGAGTAAAGAACAGATGAGACTGAAGGGGCCCTCAAAACATGATGAGTCCCTTTCTTAAGACATACGCCAAGTTTGGAAGGTTGGATAGGACAGGGGCCCAAGAGCCATCATGAAGACTTCGTAAGGGCAGAACCGAGTCTAGTGTAGAGGAGACAGAGATCTCACTGAACTCCAGGGAGAGCCAGGCCTTAGGAATGGGGGTGAACCAGAGGCAGACTGATAGCTTATGGTGACCAGTGTCAGATTCGTGATCTCTGAAGATTTAGCTTTAGGACTAGGGACCAGGCTTGATCATTCAAGAGCTTTTGTGTAGCACAGTTTTATTAAAGTGAGAAAAGGAACAGAGCAAGCTTCTGACACGGACATTTGAAGGGGGCGGAGAGTGCCCCCCTCACTGGTCTAAGCAAGAGAGTTATATACTGTTTAATTGGTTATTCAGTTAGTTCAGTTCAGTTGCCCAGTTGTGTCCGACTCTTTGCAACCCCATGAACTGCAGCACGCCAGGCCTCCCTGTCCATCACCAACTCCTGGAGTTTACCCAAACGCATGTCTGTTGAGTCAGTGATGGCATCCAACCATCTCATCCTCTGTTATTACAATAAATCAAAAGAATGTCTCAAGGTTTTAAAGATCTTACTAGACCTACTCCCACAATGTACATTTTAAAATGACAGGATTAGAACTAACAATAGAAAGATCTTACCAGACCCACTCCCATAATACACATTTTAAGATAACAGGATTTATTCAAAAGGTTTTCAGGAAGGAGAAACCGTCCTGAAGCAGGATACATGACTGTTATATAACCCTTGGTACAGAGTGTAAACTGAGCTGTTCACTGTGTGATCATCAGCTTACAGCTTAACGGAAAAACATCTTCTGTGACCAAGACTCAGGATGTAGAGAAAAAGAAGAGATGGTTGTCCTTTCCTCCTCCTTGAGAACCCCAGACCCCTTTCTCCTCCTTGGGGACCCCGGACTTCTTATCAACCTGCCTAGGACTTGACTCTCTCAATTCTGATGCCTACACAAACTGCAGCCCAGACCAGCTCAGCTCAGCTCCCTGCTGGGCAGTGAGCTCCCTCCCTGCTCAGCTGATAATCCCTCCCTGCCTGTGCAGCAGAGAGCACGCGGAGCCCTCTGTCTCTTTTCTAGGTGGAAAATAACAATACTTAAAGACTCTCCAGCATTCACCATACAGTAAAAAATGATATGATACCTAAGAAGCAAGATCGTATGATTTATAAACAAGCCAATAGAAGCAGACCCACAAATGAGTCAGATATTGGAGTCAGCTGGCAAGTACCTAGAAATAACCATAAATAATATGTTTAAGACAATAGAGGAAAAGTTGGACAAAATAATTAGATGGAGGGATAGAGAGTTTCGGCATAATTTGAATTTATTGTGGAAAACCAAGCAGATATTCTGGAAAATAAAGTACAGTATTTAAATTAGAACCCAGTGGCTAGAACCAATAGCAGATTGTCACCGTGAGTGACAGGATTAAAGACAAGTGAGACGTACTTAAAAAGGTCTTTGCAGAGGTGGAGTCCCAGAAAGAGAGGATATTAGGGGATATAACGCTGTTACAAAATGATGAAAGACAGCAGCTTAAAGATTCAAAGTACATAGAAAACCCCAAGCAGCATGACATACCTTTGCTTATCAATATAGGACTCTGAAATCCCATGACAGAAAATTTTAAAAGCAGCCAGAGGTTAGAAAAAGACACCTCGTTTTTAAAGGGGCAGTAATATGACCAACACAACTATGACATCTTAACAAACGATTAAGAAAAAAGAAAGACAATAAGATGGCCATCTTTAAAGTAATGAGAGACAAAAGCTGCCAACCTAGACTATTTTCCCAGCCAAAACTCCCTTAAAAATGGACATGAAAAAAGATAGTTTTGGACAAAAACCAATAGAATTTGTCAGTAGTGGAACTGCATTACCGTCAGTATTAAAGGGAGCTACTTCAAGCAGAAGGGAAATTATCCTAGATGGAAATGTAAGAAGGAATGAAAGACATTATAAAGGGTAAATATGCATGTGAAATATACACATGTTGACCATATAAAACTATTATATGTTCTTAAGGTTTAAAGTGTGTGTAAAACTAAAATGTATGAGAGTAATCACAAAAGGCAGGAGGAGGGTTAATTAAGTTAAAGCATTTTAAGATTCTGGGATTATTGGGGCCAGTAAAAGTAATAATTTGCGTTGATTTGTAAAGAATGCATATTGTAACCTCTTAAGGTAACATTTAAGAGAATAGAATATGTGTATCTAGGAGGTTGAAATAGAGGGGATATGAAATAAAACAACATTGTATTAATCCAAAAAAAGAAAAAGAATAGAAGGTAGACATAAAGTAGGAGGTCAAACTGAAAACAAAGAGGAAGTGTGGTAGCTAAAAACCCATTTGTATAAATGATTATATTTAATATAAATGGACTAAATACTCCCGGTAAAAGACTAAGTTTGTCAGACTGGATAATAACCAAAACCATGTTATGTACTGCTTATAAGTGGCATGATTTGTTTAAAGTATTTTACTTTACTTTTAAATTAAAATACAATTGCTATACAATATTATGTAAGTTACAGGTGTACATTATAGTGATTCCGTGTTTAAGGAAGTGACATACTTTAAACAGAAGGATGGAAGAGGATTTGTAATATATATACTCATTGAAGCAAAGCTGGCATACTATCCGACAAAGTACACAACAGTGCTACTTGGAGATAGAGATGATTTCATCATGATACCTCTGTCAGTATCTTCGTCTTAAATCTGTATGTTACAAATAGTGTAACTTTAAAATACATAAAGCAAAAATAGGAAGGTCAAAACAAAATAATTCTACAATCCTCCTGGGACACACAGATACTTCAAGAGCTTGTAGAAACAAATAGGCAAAAATTAGTAAGGATATAGACGACCTTAATAAAGTGATGAATACAGTTGACTTAACTGACATCCAGAATGCTGCTTTCAGCAAAAACAGTTTGTGTTTCTTAAAGTACGTATGGAACACTTAACAAAATAGAACATATGCTGGACCCTAAAGCAAGTTTCTGCTAATTTCAAGATTGAAATTTTGTTCAGAGTATGTTTGATGATCACAGTGGACTTAAGCTCAAATTTCACAAGAGTGTTAAGAAATTCTTAGCTGTCTGGAAACAAATAGCTTCTAAATGATTTATGAGTCACAGAGGAAATTAAAATTAAAGTTAGGAAATATATTCATTAAAATATATTTTAGAGATGACATGTGCTAGTATTATTAACATGATGTATCGTTACCCTGAAGCACTTGAAATGGTCCGGAGAAAGCACGGCATAATTAGGGCTGATATTAGTAATCTTTGTACATTTGAAAATTGGAAGGATATTCCTTTTCCCCCTGGTTTATTGATATACATGAAAACTTGATATTTTTCTACATTTTTTATTGTATTAATTTATTTCCAGAAAGGGTGATGAAATGATGATATAATTTGGCATCACGTGGAAAAAAAGTAAGCTAAATCTGAAAGGGTTTCACTCAGTACAAAATAACTTTTTAATTTCGATCTGAATCAGGCATTTTATCTGTATGAAAATCACAGCTTGATCTGTCAAATTTTTTTTTCTTTCCTGTGTTCTTAAAAGCTTCACCTCTTCAGTTTCAGCATGTACTCAGCTGCTTTGTTAAATACAAAGCCATGTCCTTCAGCAGATGAAACAGATGGTCAGTCTACTGGGTTATTTCTTAAGCACTTCTCACCTGTGTGGTGGTGACTCCTGCTGATATGTCTCCATCTGAACTCTAAACACTGGGCCTTCTCTTCCTTGGCTTGCTCCCCAGCGCCTCTGTCCTGGGCTGGTGTGATGAATCTGGCCTGTCAGATCATCTCCTTGAAGGAAAATGGTTCAGGGCTCCTGACCAACTTGCTCTGTGTTCTTCATGGCATCATCCATGTTGGGGCTTCAAATACAGTTCTCTTAAGTCAGTACAGCCTCTAAGACTGAGGTTATCAGTAAGTGTGACTCCTTGCTTTCATCCACCTAGTGGATTCTCTAATTTCTAGTTTATGATCCTGGTCCCTGCTTGAAGTTGGGCAGTCAGTCTTGCTTTGCCCTCCCTGGGTTTCCACAGCTAAAAACCAGGGTGATAGTAGTGTTATCAGTAGTGATAGTAGGGTGATAGTACCTAAGTTGTACCTTAGGGTTGTCACGCGTGTGTGCAGCATAAGATCAGCACCTGGCATTAGTTAACCTTGCTCCAGTTAGACTT